ATTAAACTCAAACTAAACTATATTTTCAAATTTGTACTAAACCCAAAATTTAGTTCAGTTCAAGTTCATAGAAACACTAGTCTAGAAATGCAGTCTTGTATATTTATAATTCAAGTAGAGATTTTATTAATTAGTATATTAAAAAAAAAATTATAAATTAACTAGCTAAGCTAGATATAAAGCCAATAGTTTAAGTTTTATAATCTTATTTTTTTTTTATTTAAATATATATTATTTATAATTGTCTTATGTCTGGTATGAAGTTTAATTATATTCACCTTAATGATTATGTTTCAAGAGAACATGTGATTAACCGTAATGCAATAAACTCAACTGCAACCACATACTGTGATCAACTAATAGCAAGTTCTATAATAGAAATTTTACTTTGAATTATGGTAAAAATTGACAATCTAATACTAACTCAACTGTAACCATATTAATAAATGTCGCGGCTAATGCTGAAATTTTATTTTATTATGAAATTTTAAAAAATTTTCGGGCCTTTTCGTTAGGGTTTTTTTTAGTATTAGATTAGAGTTTGAGGGTAGAGTTATTAGGGACACTTAAATATCACTGAACCCAGTGATCGGTAATCACATGATAAACAAATCATGACGTCATTTGTTTACCAGAACTAAACAAACTGGCCTAAACTAACTCCTACCCTAACCCTAACCTAACCCTAACCTAGGCCGAGTAATTGTTATGTGATACTGTGATGATCACTGGGTTCAGTGTTTTTTAATCTTCCCCTAGTATCTAATAGAAAAATACAGACATAATCCATGTCCATTTGCCTATAATGAGCATATTCATATTTTACCAACATTGATTTTAAGCGATGATTTACAAATAGTAATATGCAACTTAAAGTTCATTTTATGAATCTTTGTATTATAATTAGCTTTAGTAACTTATATTGAATGTATTTCTACTCAAAAAATCAAATGAAATTTTTGAAAAATTGCCAATATGGGCGTAACACCCCATTTAAATTAGATGAACAATGCATTTATGTATAATTGACATGACATGAATGTACATATGTACAAATGTGCTATTGCAAGAAATGAATAATCCTCGGGAACTTGTTATAGAATAAATTTGAATACTATTAACTATCTGAATACATAACATTTCCCATATTTCACATTACACTGATCAGAGATCTTATTGGCATCGAGCATTATAAGAGACCAGATTTGATGCATCTTTTCACAGTCATAATGGATTCTTTAACATTTACTATCATAATATATCGTCTTATTATTCATATTAATTACATTAATTTAATTAGAAAATACCAAACTTTAATTATTAATCGGTGCATTTAAATTATCTGTAATCATTGCTTTTACCATTACAATGATTTTATTCTTATTTAAAGATGTTCAATCGGTAAATATGAATAGCTTCTATTTAGTTCAATTTTTAATCGCGTTTTAGTGGTCTGGAGTAAAAACGTTACGCAAATATCAGCCAATAGACCTGCAACAATACGTGATTCTGATTTACTGTATGATCATCATGTGTTACCTGTACAGCTACACAAAAACCCGTTACGCGTATATAGACCAATCAGAAACATTTATTATGGACAGACAGTTAAAAATTTAATAATATAGATTAATTAAAAAGTATTTAAAACTAGAAATAAATAGTGGCATTTTATAGAACTAAAATCTTATGTATTGGTTAGAATTTTTTTAAAAAACTTAAAGTGCAATTATTTAAATAAATAATAGAATATGTTAATTTAAGTGTATATATTATAATATATTTATACGTATGCAAACAGACAAAGCCTAATTTGATAATTAATAAAGTTATAAAACAGCAATCTTTGCCTTTAAGCTATTGGTGATTATTTAACAATAACTATAAGTAGTTGTTAGAAGAATGTTTTAACACTAACTATAAAGTGCCATTAGAATAATAATTATTTAATACCAACCCATAAAGTGCTGCTAGAATGATTATTTTTAACACTAACTATAAAGAGCTGTTTGAATAATTATTTTATTATTTGATATTCACGCCACAACCTGATGATTGGCTAAGAATCACACTATTGTCCTCACTGGTCTACTTTCTACATCTTATGTATTATGCAAAAAAAAACTTGAAAAGATGTAGATTGCTCAGTGGAATATTGAAGAAATCTGCAAATTATCCATCATTACAATAGATTATATATTGTAAATAATATTTAAATCTAACTCACCATTTAATAATGGGTTTAATATCTATATAGTAATAAATAAAAAAAGGTTGATTCATATGTAATGAATAAAACAAAAATTAAAAGAGCTACTTAAATTTATTATCTTAATTAATATCATTATAGTGCTAAACATGAATTACATATTATTATCAATGGTATACGTATGTATTACATTTAGTTTCATTGTCTGCATTAAAATCACTCAAGTAATTTTTAGTAACCATCGGATGGAAAAGTAATTACGGACACAAGTCAAATAAATAAATAAAGAGTAAATAACGGAACACAAAATTCCTGATATGCACCCAATATGCTACCATAGATCCGCCAAATAATTGCAGCATATTAGTAGTGTATCAGGTAACTAATACTGTATTGAGATATAGGCATGTGACATATAGCGGTAAAATATCAGTAATCCGATATTTTACTCTTAAATATATGAGTAGAATTGCTGACATGTTATTAATACTTTCCCCCGTGCCTACAGTATATCTTGTCATTAGTCTACTAATGTAGATACCATATAGGGTGCATATCAGGAATTTTGTGTCCCATTATTTACCCGTTACTTATTCGTTCAACCTGTGGGATGTTAATCCAATTTAGCTTTGATGATTCACTTAAGTTAGATTTATAAACACTTGTACACGTGATATGATGTCACGAAATAACTTTAATAGTTATCAATTAATTAGGTCAACTTTAGTTAATCATTCTTACCATATGTTCTATAACTAAGACATCGTAGTATATGGAAACTTTATTAATGTAAAGACTCAAGCTTTAAATACAAGGGATGGTGGTAGAACAAAACCAAAATTTATGAATGGCAGGTATTGGAATCGCCTAAATTTAAAACAGCATAGAAAGGTCTTCTACTCTGACAACCTACGCTCTTGCCCAATAACTGCATTCTTGATAGGAGTGTATGAAATTGACTGTCAAAAGGTGTACTATTTCAACTTAGCCTATGGGATATCTGCTCAATTCAACACTTACATTTTGTATTCACCATGTTAAACAATTAACATTCCTTGAACAAATTATTTTTTTCTGCTGTAATTCATTTTTGTCTCTTGTGTTCATTTGTTTGCAAAACAAAATTTTAACACAATGAAATGCCCTAGAATGTAAGTTTAGTGAATTTTATTTCTAAAAACGTTGCTTAACTGTTAATCATATTTGGTTTTGCTTCACGCTAATACAATAAAATTTGAAAATATTAGCCACCAACTACTTGTACTAGTAAGTTGGGTTACATTGTAGTTTGAAATTTTTTTAATATATTCAATTACTTATTATAGTAATGCCTATCTATTAAAATTTGTTTATTTTTCCTTCTACAGATGAAGTCTCCAATACACGATCAAAGGCCTCAAATCATAAAGCTGCACTCTTGCAAGGTTGAAGAAAAAAATGTAAGATGTAGTAAAGTGAATTAGCTTAAATATAATAAGAACAATTCAAGTATAATGAATAAAACAAAAATTGTCGGTTCAAGTATGACAAATACATGTAAAACAAAAAATCGATTAAAGAATATAAAAAAGATCGATTCTTAAAAAAAATGAAACACAAGAAATAATTCTGTCATTAATAAATATATAATTATTATTATCAGTAGTCTATTTTATTAGGTCTCATGAGCTCTATTAAAGATCTCCCGAGTTATTTTCAATCAGTGAAAATTGAAAAATATCATTTTGAATTAACAAATAAAGTAATTTAGTATTATTAACATTGTTCATGATTAATAAAAAGCTCTTAAAAAAATATAGATTTTACAGTTTTTGATAAAATATAAATAATGCCAAACTATGCAATAAAAATTTATAGTAACAAAAAAAATATAAATTAAATATTTGAAGCATTATTAGGATTTTATCAACATTTTAATCTCTCGCGATATACCGACTTTCGTTATACATCGATTTTTACACAATTCATATGATCTGCAATTATTGTTATATAATCATCGGAATTTATGCACAGAACAGATCAAAAGTGTCGATATAACGATAATGAATTTTAATATATCAAGTACATACGATAACGATAAGTTTAAGATCAACTCAACCAAATTTAGAAATAACTGAAATAACCGAAAAATAAACATCAAGTAAAAAATTAATGTTGTTAACTTTAATAACATCAAGTAAAATGTTTATGTCGTTAAATTTAAAAATGACGCAGAAAAATTTTCAATCGGTTGAAACTGAAAAATAACGTGTCGATTAAAGAATCGACAAATTGTGATCGACGCAAAACATGTTCACTATAAAGTTAATAAAGATTACAGGTGATTATTACTTGGATCACTATCACTACTTTATTTTAAATAATTAGTGAAGCTTAAATTTTGTTTACATTTCTTATCTGTGGATAAAATTTAAAAATAGCTTGCAGGGATTTAATATAAAGATAATTAAATTATATTGAAGGTTTATATGTTAATAAAATGTAAAAAATTTGATTGATAGATACAATCATTAAGAAATTGAGAATTCAAAAATAAGTGCGGATATACCAATAAATTTCAAATTTGTAGCAGGGAGGCTAAACTACTCGGTTTGAGGTTGTTTGAGGTTTTTTTGAGGTTGTTTAAGTCGAGCTTACTTCAATATCTGATTTTCGATATAGTTTGGCAGTTTAAATATATGATGTTTACCGGATTTTTTATATCCTTCAAAACAATATTCTACTAAAATTTTGATCCATCCATTTTTGCAACATACTTGGTTTTTTCCATTTAACCAAACACTGCTGAATTTCAATTGTTTATTATGATATGAAAATCTTCCACAACAAATAATGTCTTGATTGGAATCAAATCCAAAGTGCTTTTAATAATATGATGGTGAACTTGACTATTTCCAACGTCTCTAAGAACATCAGATGGCCAGTTATTGGTACACTGTATTAAAGAATGGCGCCATAATTATTATTACATGTAATAATTATTATTACAAAAAAGTAATAATTATTATTATATATATTATTATATAAATAATAATTATTACATATAATAATAATAATTATTACATGTAATAATAATTATAGCGCCATTCTTTACACTGTATAACGATATAAAAGCTTCTTCCATTAAATCCTGATGTTTTACCACCTGTATTTTTCCAAGTAAAATTCCCATTAACTGCATATACAATTATACCGGCATAGTTTTTATTTTCGTCAAAATTATCACTAAAGTATGAAATTTTGCAAGTGATATCCCCTAATATGGGTTTGATACGCTTATAAAGAACTTAAATTTTTTTTACCCATCATCTAATTTAATGATTAGTTCAAGATGATTATAAATTTTTATATGAGTTTTTTGAAAAATTAAAACTATGTCAACTGTAAAAAAGGTATGAAAGTTGGCTTTTTATAATTAATCCAATAAAAATTAAAATTTTATAAATAATATGCATAACGCTTTCAAACACATAATATAGAATAAATTGGTAGTTAATAAAAGTCATTTTTAACAATAGATTTTGTGCTAACGTTCTATGCAGAACAAAAATCTCTTAACGTGCAGTAACTCATAATAGCTATGTAGTTACGATTAAATTTAACAGTAATTATTGCATCATTACTATGCAGTTACTGCGTATTAAAATATTTAAGTTTCTATAGATTAGAGTTAAACAGAAGAATGATTTCTTTTGAATAAGGAGTTATTGTTCATGTTAGCATATTAACATTATTTAATTTCCGAATTTCATAATTTAAAAATAAGGAGTAAAAAGTATATTTATTCCCATTGTTCGCTTTTGGTACATTGATCTTATGTGAAATAGACGTGTCAGCGTATTGACCTCATTTAAATTACTGAATTTAGCCTCATTTTAGTATAAGAACAGTGTATTTGGCTGAAGGTCTGTAGTAATGATAATGAATGATGTACAGTAACTAGAAGTAAAATTCCATTATAAATCAATTACTAAATATTTTATAATTGATTTCTTGCTACATTATATTCATATTTACTAAAGTAATTGTGCAGACGGCGAAGATTGTAATTTATCACCAGTGCGATCTACCAAAACAATTAAATCTCCAAAATAACTTTGCAAAATTTTTTGAATAAGAAATAGAAAGTCCGAATATACTTATTTTATTTTTATGATATCAAATATGATCACGTTGTAAGAAGATAGTTTATGACTATGTATCGATATTTAGCTTATTTTAATTTAGATATCACTAAATAAGCTGAAACTAATATTATCACATCCCTTATTTTAGTGCGAACATATTTAGACATCGCAAAATAAGCACGATCTGCCCAAATGATTATTCGCTTTCACGCGTTACGGTTTATGCGACATAGAAATTATAGGTATTTTAAATTACCAAATTTGGCTTTATCCTAATAAATTAATGAAAATTTGATTAAGAATTAATAAATTTATCTCAAACATTAATTAATAGATTAGAGCAGTTATATAAAAAAAATGTATATATAAATATTTTTTTATAATAAATTTGATAGATATAAATATAATAGATGTTAAAGTATTATTTTGAGAATTTACGGAATAAAAGTTCAACATAAGTCTCTCTCTCTCTCTCTCATTTAACAAGTAAATTTGCAGAATTTAAAATGAATGTATTTTATTATATATTTATTAATACATGATAATTTTTATTAATAATCTTGAACTATTTTAATATCGGAATTGTTAACTTCTAATTTAAAACCAATCTTATTAGATCGAATATCTAAATATTTCAACGTAGAATTCTTACAAAGTGCATCAACTAATGCTTTTCCACCTTTGAATCCAAGTTCATTATAATAGAGATTTAACGTTGTTAAGGAGGAGTTCTTACAAAGTGCATCGGCTAATGCTTTTCCTCCTTCAGATCCAAGATTATTATTATAGAGATCTAACGTTGTTAAGGAGGAGTTCTTGCAAAGGGCATCGGCTAATGCTTTTCCTCCTTCTAAACCAAGTTTATTCTCTTGAAGATTTAACATTGTTAAGGAGGAGTTCTTGCAAAGTGCATCAGCTAATGCTTTTCCTTCTTCGGATCCAAGTTTATTCCAATTGAGATTTAACGTTTTTAAGGAGGAGTTCTTGCAAAGTGCATCAGCTAATGCTTTTCCTCCTTCAGATCCAAGATTATTATTCTCGAGATTCAACGTTGTTAAGGAGGAGTTTTTGCAAAGGGCATCGGCTAATGCTTTTCCTCCTTCTAAACCAAGTTTATTCTCTTGAAGATTTAACATTGTTAAGGA